AGTTGGATGGAAGATTTTTCAATTGTGGCTTAGATCTAAATTATTCTATACAGTTGTATTGATAGGAATAGATGTAAATTTATAATTCAGACGCAATATATTTTACAATGCAGATTGGCGGTCGGTAGGAGCAAAGAAATCGATGAAAAATAAAAAACAGCAAAAAATAAAGATAAAATTAAAAAAAAGGTTTAATTAATTGTTATGATTTCGTTTCGACAACTTGGTAGCAATTGGTAGGTTCTTAGACGTTTCGACGGAATCGTCAGTGAGATGAGTCATCCTTAGCATCGAGTCAAAGTGACTCAGCTAGTTTTGTGTTCAACGATTGTGATAACTTCCCTCGCCCTAGTTTCCCAGATTCGCACTCCACATTGCCCATTTTATCTACCTACTCTGTATGTTTTCGTTTGCCTCAATATCTCCCATGTCGATTTGATGAAGCGTCATCACATTCTACACGGGCTCGTATCCTGCTACAAGGCGTCCTGATACAATTTGTTTCTTCATTTAAAAAGTCACTTTTCCAAACTTATCTCGCTATTATCATCTGTTTTATCTAACAGTTTAGCTATAATTCCTCGATTCCGATCACTGTATACGTCATTATTACACGAATTTTTTCACTGGCCTCGGTCCGAACATATGATTGATCGTATAAACTATCATTACCGAGAAAGGTCATCTAGAAATGTGATTATCACCCCTGCTGCTCTTTCAAGTGCCCTTGGATTCTACACTTATATCTTTCAGTTACTACATGCTTCCCCTATCGCTTCTGGTTCTCTTATCATCTTGCGTTATTAATCTTTATAACGTTTCAGTTCAAATTAATCGTGAGGTCCCACTACACTTCGCTCCTCATGTGTGCATGCGTTGGTAGATCTTAATTTCAGGCATTATATAATGAATTATCCTCATGGTTAAACATTTTTTCTGGGAAACAGCACAAATTATGACCCCAACCTACGTTTCAACAGCTAAATGGATTTGAAGAATATCTAAATCCTGAGGTTGGCATGCTGAAGGTAACCTACTAGGATGGTTTTTATCATCCAATTTAGTGAAGCTCTCATTTTAATCGTCTTATCATGACTTTGATTTGTCCCTAAATTACCACTTTCCGGTGATACCATTTCCCGTTGTTCGACAGACACCCTTAAACCAAGCGTCTTCTTTTGAATTCCTTTACTGATTATTGTGAAGACTTTCATTTAGTCTAAAAGTGCATGATAAAGAAGACGACGACGGCTGATTTCCATTGTACTGCAGCGGTTTGGTTTTAATGCGAAGTTCAGGTTGATGCAGTCCACAATACATCCTCCATCGTTTCGGACGAAGGCGAGATGAGCTTGCGTCCGACATGTGGGGAACATCATCATAGATAGGACTCATTAATGTAAAAGCCTTAAGCTAACACTAAATCAAAGACTAACAGGCTCCTTCCAACCTGATGTATATACTCATAAAGAATCTTCTTGACCTAGTGTTAACGTAAGGCTTTTGCAAGAATGAGCCCCAATTCTGACGATGTTCGTCATATGACAAACGAAAGCTAAGCCCGTTTTCACTCAAATCGAGGAAGGATGTCTCGTGAACTGCGTCCATCTGAAGGTCGTATTAAAGCCAAACCGCAGCAGTACAACGGAAATCAGCTGTAGTCTTTTGGTGAGATCGACCTACGAATCTCTTCATCATGAACTTTCATATAAAATAAAAGTTTTCGCAACAATCTTATCTGAAGGGATTCATCCAAACTCGCGTTTCCTTTGTCTTTACTGAATCTAGAATTTACCAAAGTTTGCGAAATTGTCGCTGACTTTTCCCTCTTCCAATCTAATGTTCATTAGATTCCTTTTAGAAAGGTTGTCCACAGCTTTCCGTTGCATTCCACTCATTGTTGTGGTCAATCTATTTGTGCCCATGATTCTGCGAAGTCTGAAGTATTCCGGTATTCAGCCTATAACTATGAAAAGACAGGAAATTAAAGAACATTTATGAGTGGGTTTTTTTAGGGGCAACCTTTTAAGAGTCTCCTGGGGTCGAATGAAGTCCACGGATCATAAGTGTCCATTCTCCTCCATTTCCATTTACAACTTGACCTTTTCATCAAAACTGTTCAATAACATTGAGAAATTATCATAATTTTCTTTTCCATGCGACCAGGGTGTGAGGTAGTTATTGAGCTTCCGCATTAGTAATGTTGGGTGCTAAGGTCAACATGAATAAGTTGAAGGAGAATTTTAAGGCATTGGCACAGTAAGCAACGCTGATCATGCAATAATTGGATAACTACTTCGCATTTTGGTAGCATGGCAAAGAAAATTTGAATGAATTCTAAATTTGCTTGAGGGTTACGAATTAAAAGGTAAAATCGGCAAAGGTGGCAATCACTGTCCTTGATTATATGATGAGTTCAGGAACGAGGATGCGGTGAAGAGAGACTAGAACGGAAAATTCGTCAAAACGATTCGTCAAATCAGTGCTAAAAATGGCGCCTCTCACTGACGATGCCGAGGAAATGTTCAGGAATATACCAAGTCAACAGCACGATGCCAGAAAATGCCATGACTACTATGGTAGATGACGCAGGACTGGGTGCGCTCTATATTGTCTTCCTGTCATCCCGTCCAAGTTGCGAAAACAAAATCATACCAACTTAATACTTCTTAATCTTTATGTACACGAAAAAAGATTCAACTCACGTCTAGATGATTCAAATGCAATGAGTCACGAAAATATCTCTCAAGAGGTAGCTTAGTCGAGAAACCCACAGCGCCAAATAGTTTCATGCAATTAGCTATTTCTGATACTATATATTGAGAGGCGAAGGCCTAAGGAATAAAGGATGGAATTGATGATAGAAATAAGGATCAATGTAATTATTATGCACGCAAGCATACATAACTTAATAGAAACAAAGGTAACGAAATAATAAGATAAAAACATAAGGATTACGATTTATGAAGAAAGTTTTGTCAAAGCCACAATTAAAAAAATTGTATTTAAGTACTTGAGAGCAGATTAGTTGGTTAATGAAGTTTCATCAAAATATTATCAGTATAAGTAGGCTTGGAAACCATCAGTCATTCTGGAATAAGAACTTAATCATCATAGATCAGTTAAGTTTATTAGAGAACAAATAGTTTAATGTTTCCATAACCAGATGAATAGGCCTCAGGATGCTATTTTATTTCACTTAGCCTTACATCCAAAAAGGCTAGCTCGTACAGTTATTCTTCATCAAAATATGCCTGTATACCCATCGAGTCGTGTATATGAATGAGAAGAAAATTCAAGTCATCTCCTGTCGGCGCCTGGCCAAATTTTATGGCGCACAAACTGTCCTCAATTGACTTTTAGTATGTATATGTTACGTTTATGTATTCATTAGTACCATTATAATATCCATGAATTCTAATTATACAATATGCTAAATCCATTTAAGAATTGAGGTTTTAAAAACATACACTTATTGAAAACCAAAGGCGTTGCTTAGCTTTGTAACTTCCCCATAACTTGAAAATAACTGGTTTGGGGTTCGAAAATCATGGGGTCATTGTTATGCTTGTTTCCTGATGCGCATGATCCGAGGTCGAAAGCATTTAAATTTGCGAATAAAGCCTGCAAAGAATCAGCTCTATCACTCATAGACTATAAGTAGAATAAATTAGAATTTTAAACAATAAAGAAATGAGTAATCCCAATAGTCAGAGACCCTTTACAAGGATAGTACACCTAAGGCCTGGCAAAATAAAGGGAAAAATCCAATCAACAATGCCTATAGCGAAATTGTCAGATATGTTATATAGTCAAATCAAAGAGTATAACTGAAAATATGCTAAAAGTGACAAAAAAATCACAAAACACTCTATGTTTCCTGTTGCTGAGCTTCAAATCACTATCCATCGTTAGTTGAGATGGAGGCAACAAAATAATTATGCTGAAAACGACCTCGCATCCTTAATAGTTAAAAGGTTAAACACGAACAGAACTTGTCAAGTGGAAAAAGATATAAACGCAAAAAAAGTTTCAGTCAGCCGAATAATCTGCGTTAGAGACTGACTAAAATACGGACTTGATCAAGCCGAACTCCTAACCCCACTTACGGATAACTCTTGATCTAGAGAACAAACAGCGGAAGAGTCAATCACAGCAGACAGAGGATTGGTTCACTTGATAATAATGGAAGATAGATATAATTACTGGCAAAATCTTGTAGGAAATGTACGCCTTGAAAAAGTTAATCGTCCTAGAAAGCAAAAGTGGAGCGTTAACCGTAAACATAAAACTGTATTCGGTCTGAATAATTGAAGTAAAAGGCAGGATTGCAAAATGGCGTGAGGAAGAGAAGTACGATTAGTGTCCAACCTTGATGCAAGCGGCTTCTGCGCTCAGATCCCGGCTGGGCTGGGAATCGGCAAGCCCGGCTACAAGGTATGTCATAGACTCGAGAGCATAGACACTGATGGCAATGCGTGCTAAAGTCTCTGCAATGGAAGGATATTCTGCCAGAGGCCGACCGAACTGGTGTCTCCGCGAGACGAATTCTGTTGCGTAGGAAGACAAATAACGTAGGAGACCGGCACACGCTGATCCTTGATACATATGGCTGGTGGTGAGAATACGTTTGGCCAGCTGTAGAGGAATGTAAAGGGATAGCATTTTGAAGGAAAAGCAAACATAGAGATGCGATACTAAAATATATATTACGACTAGCCGCAATAAATGTGGTTAGCGACAGCCTTAGGCAGCTATTCCGCAGCCTCTTGTTATCTGCAAATATACCTGGTCGTCAAGATCAGACTAGTTCCCTTTGCAAAAATGTGCCGAAAATTACACGATAGCAGCAAAGCAGAAGTTTTGTTGGCTAAGCTTTAAGTAGTACCCGCAATACCCTACCTATCTTTATTTTTTAAGTGATAATAAAGTGAGACAGTAGAATATGTCCGCATTTACAGTGTCATAAAGCAAAATCCGATTAGTTAGTCCGGAATGTTTTATAAAATGTAAGATAAGAACCCGACTTTAGGTTTCCACCTACTGCTAGTGGTGTTGATCAGCTTAAAAGTAAAAAAATTTCAACAAAGTAGTTGCCTTAAGAAGGAACAGGTCCACAAGTTACTTTCGAATCAAAAGCATACTCTCATATACTGCACAAGCATCAGGTCAACAGAATTAGTATATAGAAAAAAATGTTTCAAAATATCATAACACAGGAGCTAACGCTGACAAACAGATAATAAAAGTGTAAAGATGCTGTTGCTAGCAGAAATGAATGAGATGAGCATACAAAAAGCTTAGATGCTAAATAAAACCCTGGAGTAAATAGGTTAAAGGACTCTTCGAAACCCAGTTTGCGAACATGCAGTATTAGGGCAAAGTTGCCAAACTTATTAAGTTACACTTAATCAGACAAAAACAAATTAAGGCCAATCTGACCCTTTAAAAATATATACATCCTGTCTATAGCGAGTTCCAGGGATTTCATCATTGAGCGTTCGAATTTACCATGCAGGAGGTAATTGTTCTAAAATTTAATCACCAGATTCGGAAAACCTATACCGGATGAGAACAGTGACAGGTAATCTTTCGAATAGAGATAAAAAAAAGGTCCAGAAAACCTTATGACGATAATGTTATTCTAGAAAAGCGCTTTAGATAATAATCTATGTCCAAAAAAGCCTATAAAAAAAATCGAAGGTATGAAGACTAAGAATTTTCGACGCTTAGTTTCGTTGCATAGGAGCTGTTTGGCCTTGCTTTATAACTTAATAGCATGGTCATGGAGACCTAGAGACCTGCCTTGCTAGTCTTAACGGCATAAAAAACCCGTCAAAGAGCCAAGTGAAGTCGACCATTTGGACAACTGCCTGCTGGATATTGTAGGTATGAATGCCAAGATGGTGCGGTCTTCTGTTTGGTCGTAGTATTCTTTAAGTTTGTAGTGTCGGTTTGACCTCGTTTGGTTAAATTGGTCGGAACGACAGGGAGACCTTGTGGAACGTACATATTCATGCGTCCTCTGCCATTGAATACTTGATGATTTCCAGCATCACCCGTGAATTTGTACATTCCAAGGCGTCATCGTTAGCATAGAATAACAACTTATCAAGGTGGCTCGTCACATAATGGAAATCATCATGAATACTCCGGCAGAGGGCGAAGGACCTAGACTACTTCTGTCCTGGTGTATTCATCTGTCCTATATCCTCGTAATACCACTTGCCTATCTATTTATGCCTAATTCATGTGTACCCTTTTGAGCTGATTTAGTCAGACCTATTCACAATCCCCGCTTGTTCCATCATCCCTCTGCACTGTGTAAAATGTTGATCCAAGTTCGTCCGTATTTACAATCCGCTTCCTCCAGGTCCTATCAGAGTCTCCCTCTTGCCCCGTAGGCTCCGTCTCTTATCTGCCTAGTTCAGTGATTCCACTCGATCACTGTCACCTTATCTGTACTATTCGAAGCGTCATTTTCTACGCGATGTCTTTGATAGCACGTATACTTGCGCCCCACTAAGCAGACCCTTAAAGTCTGAACCCTCAAGTTGGACGGACGACTATTAATATTTCGAACATGAGGCCACAGAGGAGCAAACAGAAAGCAAGAAGATAAACCTACAGTGAGCCCACTCAAACTGAGTATAACAACAAACACATTTTGGGGTTGGAGCACAAGAGACTGAGGAATAAGAAAGGCATGCACTTGGCATTATGGATAGAAAGGCGAAGGACATGGCAGAGGCCAGAGATACCGTATTTCCCCATGTATAAGCACCCCCTTTGTATAAGCCACGCCCAATTTTTTGACTGTGAAGTTTTGAAAAAATATCTTATTAGTGAAACAAGTTACAAAGAAAGAAAAGTTACAAACAAACAAAATTCAAGACTCATAATAATCGCTCACACACTCATCATGACTGTCTGGTGCATCAGGTATAGTGACAACCTGCTCACATTCCTCGTCTTCTTCAATATAACTGGCATCGAATTTAGCTAACAGTTCTTCCTCTGTATCATCTTCATCGCCATCTTCATATATCAAGTGA